GATCAAAACTTCTTTTGTATATGAACTTTAGTTAGACACGAAATCGCATCATTTACAAAGAGCTCTTCTTGAAGGCAGTATATTATAGAATAGTAATCCTTGGATGATTTTTATACCATCTGTCAGTGAATTCGAGGTACCTGTTCCACTATATAGGCTAAGTTATTTTTAAGAAAATTAGTGTTTGCATGGTTTTAGAATGGATGTTTATTTTTTATAATGATATTTGTCGTGGGCGTGGTATGAAATTAATTGTTTTGCATGTGGAACGTTTACTTTTATACGACCTCTATAGACTATACTCGGATGGAATAATATTAATAATGGTTAGGGGCTTCGGTGGCGCAGTCATCAGAGCAAGGACCTTTCATTTCTTTGATGGAGGGTTTGATTCTCGCTATGGACTCATGTGAAGAGTCAGTCAACGCTCTGTCGAAAGTCGTGGGGTTTTTTCGGGTGCTCATGGGTTCTTCCCATGCACAGGGAAAGTTGACAGGGTGGGTTAGGATAAACACAGTTAAAAAATTAATATCACAGTTGTTGTAAAGATAATATAGTCTACACAGGAAAAATTAACGCCTAGCCTGTAACAATGTTGATGAAAACAGGCCTGAACAATATTTTGCTGCCCATATTGTTCCTTGTTGTTGATAATATTGTTCAGCATTGTTCAGGTGAACAATGCGTGGCCATATGTGCGTAATTAGGTAAGCGTATAACAGTGAGCTCTATTTATATCTGGAGTAAGAACTTCAGTCATTCGGTCAATGAAAAAAGTGAAGCCAAGATGCCGGCCATTGACGTCCAATAGCTCTGAAGGTCGTAAACAGTTTTTATACCATTTTCCCCAGCTAATTCCAGTTTTTTTCTAATGGACCGTATCACTAATGAAGTTTTCAGTTCATAAAATCACAATATTATTCTTTAAATCAATGTCAAAATACGAAATTTCAACGCACTCCTTGCCAAGATATGGCGGAAATTGAAGGAGCTCTTGGACATCAGTTCCAGTCCCTTTCTATTGTTTTTGTATGCGCGGTTAACACGAAACTGGCTTCACTTTGAGCAACCAAGTTCCTACTCCAGATATATATGGAGCTCACTGGCAAATAATACTTGATGTATTAAAAGCGCATTTGATCATATCCACATATAAATTTGCGCTATAGAAATGCTAATCGTACTGAAACTTTATCAGATGGCGACCGGCTTCTCGACATTTCAAGCATTTTGCGCCAAAAAATAAATTTCATTCCACATTACTATTGACCGATATACCAGGCGGATAATATGTAAATTATCTCATGTTGAGATTGTGGGGAAAATGGCAGAAATTGTGGAAACCAGCTGATCGCAGTCTGGAAGATGATTACTCTTGTTATAGCTTAAAATAGCATGCAACACTAAGAAGAGGAAATTACGAGCTCGAGCATTTTATTATATAGTCGCTTAGCTGCTTACTGTGTTTCATATCGTGTACATGCATGCATGTTGTGTCTTCCGACTTCCATGTATAAGGCGGTATGAGAAAGGATGTGGAAATGCTTGGGAACTTATTTTCCGTCTCGCAGCTTCGATTATAAAACGTAATCAAAACAATTTTAGCACGCGCTACATGTAATACATGATATAGAGAAAAAAATGTATGATAATATTAGTTCAGTTGACCGGCCAAATTAAGGAACAACATGAAAAAGGTAATTCTCAGATTAAATAGAGAAAAACTTGATTATTCAAAGGGATACGGTAATATATTTTTTATTATTTCATTTTAAAGAACTTTTAAAATTATATATTAATCTCCTTTACCGATTTTGCGTAACTTTACTATTTCTTGAAATATTTTGACTTAAAATAATTTGCTGTTCGGCATCTTGGATTAGTTTTTATCTCATTATCGGTGATTTTAGTGACGTCATAAGCAGGGTTAGCCATATAAAACAACATCTAAATGACCAAATAACATTAAGTCTTGTTTGAAAAGTCTTCAGACAGTTTTTTTATTTCAAATAGATACTGAAGTATATGATTTTGGGCTCATAATAACCAATTGCTCTATGGATAAAATTCTTGCGTGACCCTGCTTATGATGTCACATGCATATCCGCGAAAATCCAAGATGGCGGAAAGCTCGCTGATTTGTGATTTTTTCTGTTCAAATATCTCAAGAAATAATAAAGTTACGCAAAATCGGTAAAAGAGATTTACATATAATTTTAAAAGGTCTTCCAATCCCTTTAATTAAGTTTGTTTGCAGAAGAAGAAGTCATGCAATGTGCATAAAAAAAGAAATTTGTTTGCAGAAGAAGTAGTCAATGTGCGTAAAAAAGCTTGAATATTCCGAGTAGTCGTTTTGTAGTTGTTTTGTCAAAAAGGCATGTTTCGCCATTATATAGTTGTTTGTCAACAGTCGTGAAATTACTGGAATATCGAATAACATGTGTCGAATTTTGAATAACATTTACCGCTTTTTAAGAGTGCTTCTTTTCTACAATGGTTTCTTATGATGTTGTGTATGAGTTTGACAAAAATCAAGTTTAAGATTTAGTGACTTTCGAGAGTATCAGAAATATCGTAATATCGTACCGGCTGAGTATTTATTTTTCGATATCGATATTCGCTTTTTTTAAATATAGCATCAGCCTAATTTCACAGAAATCTCTGATGTTCTTAATGCGAAACATTGGACAGACAGGAATAACTATATACTAGATTATTTAAAGTCAACTTGACGAACGAAGGCCGCGGGCAACCGGTCGAATGGATTATAAGGCTGAGGCAATGAGAATTTGCAAATTGGTCGACACTAAACTTTTCTTGGGTAAAACTATAAAAGTAATAGAAAACATTTTATCCGTGTATTTCTATACAGTTATAGTAACACTTGTAGTAATAAGTTTGGGGGAACTCGAAATAACTGATTATTTCTCGTTGTCCCACGGCAATGCCGTTTTCTATTTCTTAATCGGTGGATTTTCGATATTTTTGGTAAAATATCGTGAAATTCGCCAAAAAAGTTACCATCATGTAGCAATGATAAATTCGTACCCAGTACAGGCCTCGCCCTTTCGAGGGCCACAAGTTCATCAGTTTTACTGTATAGTGTTTACCCTCGCAAAATAAAATCTTTCAATTTCAATTTCAAGAAATATTTTCGGCAATGCTGGCGCTATTAATTAAGCTAATTATTTCAAATCCTTCACTGAAAAAAGAGATAGTGAAATTCGTACGTACTGTCATGGATTTGCGATTGCATCACTAAATCCATCAGTAGTATATCCATACTATTTTCATATTATATCAATGCATGCATAGTATGGAAATTGCAACTATGAATGAGTATCAAAATTGGATTTCCTCACTATTTTCAACTATAATCCATACTATTTCCACAGAAGGATTTTGAAAAGAAATTCCAATCTTATATCACTCCGGTTTTAAAAATGATTAACACGTAATTACCTTTCTTAGCATTCCTCTGTTGTAATATGTCCTGATTGCTCGAAACAGTTTGTACTTGTCCATTTTCGGTCTGTTTTTAACGGTTCCCCATAGTTTCGCCAGTTCATCGGTGTTTTTTAATTCAAATACTCCTTCACGTTTGTTGGTCCAACATAATACTGAAGCACATTCATCGTCTTCCAGCAGACCAAATAGAAATTCCCAGAGATAAAGAGACTTTCTTGCGTTAGATCGTGAGTTACTTCTTTTCCTTGAAGCTGGAAAGAGAGGAAAACATTTTGGTACATTACACATATAGTGTCGATCATTTGATATACCAACAGAAATTATGACACCGGCCTTATATAGTGCAATAATGTCAATATATCCAAATGTGTTGTTTTGACATTTCGAGTTGATTAATTAACTCCTTGAAATTTACAGTAAAATTTTAAATTGTAAGGTAATATATGGAGGCCTGAGAATGACAGAAGAAAACACCAGGGAGTTTGTACACAATGCCAATTACCAAAGGAAATTAACTATGATCAAGTATATACTGGGCAAGGTTTCTAACCTAAGACACAATATTCAGCTCTTCATTATTTCATCGGATAATATATCTTTAAACTTTTTTGAAGCGATTTTAACGGCGCTATGAAAATTAATTTGATTGATAGATTACCATGATTAAAAAAAATTTAAACGAATGTCTGAATGAATGAATGTTTTGGACTGCAGAGTGATAGCATCAACAGTCAAGCGAATTCCAAAATAAGGTCCGGCTTTGTCTCTGCCTCTGCCACTATTCCAAAGGGCCGAGTAGCCACGGAGTGGGGGAAGGGCAGCATCCCTCCAACTTTTCCTTAGGACCATTTTTTAATTCTTTTAAAACTGAGGAGAGACAGAAGGCGGCATAATGTTTTCATCTATGATATAAAAGTGTCTAAAATGCATGAAATAGCGATTCGCAGACCCTAAAACTAGGAAAATTTTCCCGGTAGAACAATGTCCTGGAAGGACGGACGATTGGACCCTCCCTCGTTCGGGACTGCATACGTCTCTGAATGACTATAGAAAATAGTTTCGTGTAGTTTTACTTAATCTAGTGGTTTCAGGAAGGGTTAGGATTCTTACTCAGGGCCGTCGCTATAGGGGGGGGGGGGTGACACCCTCCCTGAAAACATCTTGTGGGCGAAGTAACGGATTTATCGGCAAATTGCTTTCGTAGTCAACGAAAATATTTGAGTGGCTCTGATTAAAAAGTAGTAGTAAAAGCAAAATTGTTGATAAATTCACGAAAATATTACCGAATACCGAAAAAGTTAACAAATGACGGTACTTTTTAATTCAAAAGTTAGTGAAAAATGGTATGTCCGGAAAGATGTTTTAACCTCTTTGCTCACCCCCTCCCGCTCGCTAACAATCTTGGGAAAAGAAATATTAATTAGCAACTGAAATGTTGTCGGCAAATGCTATAGTACACCCCCCAACCTTATAGCCTCGTGCAAAAATTATTGAGACAACTAAGTCATTATCCCCCTCCCTCCACAAACAATGTTGGACAAACGATACAAAGGTACCGTAAACCTCTGACTATAAGCCCTGGGCTTATATACTTTCGTAAGCGATTTTTGATGGGCTTATACAAAGGGGGCTTATATACGGGGGGGGGGCTTATACATGGACGATCTTTTGTGTTAGTAATAACAAGTCATACATAAACAAGTCAGTCATAAACAGGAAAATAAACATGTATTAAGCAGCGATTACTGGGCTTATATTAATTCGGGGGACTTATATTCGGGGGGATTATATTCGGGTGGGCTTATATTCAGGGGGGGGGGCTTATATAGGAAATTCCAGCTTTTAGTTTATGCCTGCAGGGGATGATGGGAAGTAAGGTATCATATTGCTGATTATTCTGAAAAATTTCAATAAAAACTACCGAAGCAACCGAAATATTTCAATATTTATACAAGTATAAGCTGTCACTCCGTGTTTACACGGCCACTATTTTTATTTTTTCAGCATAATCAGCAATGTGATACCTTACTTCCCATCGTCCCCTGTACGCATGAACTAAAAGCTGGAATTGCCAATTTGGAATGAGGTGGGCGTTAGTACATGTGGTGGGCTTATACACGGGGGGCTTATAGTCGGAGGTTTACGGTATATCGTCAGGTCAAAATATTTTTTCAACATTGTAGTAATGGGGGAGAAGTAATCACGGAAATAGCACGAAATATCAAAAGTCTCATTATTTTTCCACGAGATTGTATAGGTGAAACCGCTAGTGGTATTATTACAGTGACGCAAACTAATTCAAAGATAACCAAAATTATATACTTTGTCATTTTCAGTTATTCTAGGAAGCCAGTATAACTTTTACATTTAATTAATTTATCTATTGTATTGTAAGTATGTATATTTTTGGTACAAATGAATTCGAGTCTGTTCTCTGTTATCTGTTAATTAAAAATTTATCACAGCAAATGTTATCACTGCACATTTTTACCTGAATTCATCACTATACACATTTTCGCTTTATCACATACTGCGTGACATGACTGCAAGAATTGGTTATCAGTTTGTCTTCTAATCGTATTAGCTCGATCCCGGGTACAAACATGCATACTTCATTTCAACGAATATAGAGACTTTTCTGTACATTACAATATCTATGTACATTACAATATATATGTATATAGCACAATCTGCAAATCTGCATGCTTCGGCGTTCTACTCCTCGTCAGTGCAGCTTGGTACACGTCTAGATACGTGAGATCGTATTTATATCATAAGAGCTTGCTCTCACCAAGGCATGTGGTACAACACAATGCCATCAACGCATCCAGACATGCGCAGAATGTAATGGGGCCAGAGTGCTGAAACGACCACAAGGGAAGTGAGCTTTGCATTATCGCTAATATAGACGCTCATTAACAATTCTGCAGAGTGCTCAACAACACCGAAGGGAAGGAGCGTAATAGTAATATTATATACATGCATATAATACATAATGTTTATGTACATAAAGAACATATAGAGATGTGATAGGATATAGGGATGTGCATGCACAATGGCATATATATATATATATATATATATATATATATATATATATATATATATATATATATATATATATATATATATATATATATATTATGATTTGTAATCCAAGCATATTATAATTAATTAAAGTTCTCCGGATTGAAATATACTTTTATTGAGCTTTCGACTTGGTACTTCGAGCCTTCTTCAGAATACTGAGATTAAAATTACATATGTACATTACTTAATTAAAGTTTTGCGGTGTTCCTACGTTCCTGCATGTATACGTTGAAACCGTCTAATTGGCTGTTCCACGGTTGAACATATATATATATATATATATATATATATATATATATATATATATATATATATATATATATATATATATATATATATATATAGATAGATAGATAGATATTCGAACGCTGAAGCATGCATGCATGTCCCGAGATTGTTCTGCGCTCCTCCATTTCTGTGATGTTGAGTTTGGTCAGTTTAATGCATGCATTGGTGTCAATTATCTATCGATTTTGAAAGTTAATGAAAACTACATTGCTATAACGGTCTATTTTGTATCGTGTCAAATGCATTAAATGAGATAATATTGTTGTTGCAAGCGTGAAAGATATAATTGCAGTCTTCAAAAATGATTATCATATATATTACATAATATGGGAAAACTTTTTACTTGTTTCTTGTTTAATACTATAAATTGTCTAAATATTTTAAAAATTGCCAATAAATTTTGGCTTAAGTTTACGATTGTTTTTTTTTCAAACTTGTTAGGTCTTGACTCAGCCAAAAATCAGTTTCAGGTTTTGTTGTTATGATTATACATATATGCAATCTCGAAGGCGTGTGTCCTATCTTATAGTTGATGATATATACAGCCGGCAAATTTTTTTTCAACATCATCATGATGTTATTGTAACGTACATGCATCATCATGATGTTATTGTCTAGAGAAACCAGTAAACTTATCGAACTACAATAGGGAAAGTACAATTATTAATAATTAAAATACTAAATAGATAACTATCTGGGTTAACTGTTTCAGTAAAATGAAAACTATAATGAATGTCTCTCAAGACTGTACTGAATCAGTTAATGAAAGTTAAGCCTCGGTCAAGGGAAGATTAAAGTTGAGAGTTGGCAGTCACATGATGCATATCAGTATTATATATGATGGACATTCTAAGCTCTATAGATTAACAAAGTTAAGTTCTGCATGATGAGTGTTCCAACTATGTTTCAACTTAAATAAAACACGTGACTCGACAGTGTCCGGAAAGGATCAGTTAAACCAAGGTTCCATGCATGTCTGCCAACTCTGATGCACTCTCATTCTCGGTTGATCCAGGCTTTACTGAATTGTTTCAGCATAAAAATGTTTTACTGTCAGAATTCTTCAGCAAATATATCCATCTATACATGTAAAAATGACGAATTAAGTGTAAAGTGGTGAACAAGTATGTACATTTTTATAACCGACACAAACGGGATGACTTTCAGTAATGTGCATGAAATTATGTAAATAGTGTAATGATTGAAGAGTTGTCTCTTGTATTCCTTCTTTGTGTCCCCTTTTTTAACTAATGACCAACGTTTTTGAAATGTGAACATTTTTGCTATTATATCATTGTCTTTACTTTACATTGCAGAGGCCGGTTGTTCAAAGATGGGTTAACGCTACCCCTGGGTTAAAATTTAACTCGCTGTTTTAGTTTGCCGTGTATTTCTGCACTTCTGTTTACTTCGAAACTTCAGAGAAGGAAACTCTTATCGATTCAGACAAGATCTCTGAAGAGATATTTCCAAATTTATATAGACAAGCTTTTAGGAAATTTGCTTTGAATTTTAGGTTAATCGGATTCACCGCGGCCCCATGATAAGTGAAAGTCGTTGCATCTTCAAGCACTGAGTTTCTTATCCAGTAGTGGAGTATAGGCAGTATACAGATCTTAAAACTTATATAATGCATGGTTGCTAAGCCGGACATAGCTAACGAGCAACGAATTTTTATCAGCTTTGAAGTGCGGTTTACTATAATGCAGTTAAAATGGGATATGTTTTACTTTCTACAATTATAGAGATTACACTGCAATATTTTAGCTCAAAAACGTGGGTAAAATCAGTGATGGGCATTAACGCAGCACCCATGCATATGCATGCACTGTGAGTGACTCACAACATTTTGCCTCACTGTGTGTGCAATTATTAAGTTTATATCCAATGCTTAAGTGATACGATGTCCAAATTATATGACATGAAGGCAAGCTATATTAAGAGGTTTCTGCAGTATAAAGCAATACTAAATAAATTCATGTTCCCCGTAGAAATTTGAAAGTATAAGGCCGCCAGTGGGCACAGAATCGGGACCCTTGCATGGTGAAATATTAAATTTGTGCATACCGTTTAATTGGAGTGGGCATTTGATATTATATATTTCTGCAATGAATTAGTTGGAAATGGCTATATATTTGCAGTTCATTAAGAGGAAGCTGCGAAGTTTATGTTTTCCTGTAGAACCGTGCATACAATAGATTGCTTCGTCCACTGATCGACTACAATATAGTGCATTTTATAGTGGATGTCTTGCAATTGTCCCTTAATTGAAGCTTAGTTGTATGCATCGTCCATCTTAAGCCCCGTTTACACTATACCGGCTTGCTATCGGAGTGGGTCAAATTGTGTAGGGTATCGAAAGGCTGTGAAGATTTTTAATCTCAGAGACCCAAATAAACATGCCAATTCTGTCAAACTAATAAGCATTTGCTACTAACCATTGCTCCGAAACGGCAAAAGAAGATGTCGTGACCAGCGAATCCGGTATAGTGTAAACAGGGCCTTAGCCTTAGCCTATATAGGCAAACGCAAACCTGCACCAGTAGTAAAAAATGGCATGGATAGTTGATTGGTGGTCGGATAAATATGTTATTCTCCAATGTGTTCGGATATGTAGGCTATGTTGTTCTCGGGCTATTATCTTATTTTTCAGCTCAGCCTCTGTAAACCGTAGCGTTTGTACAAAAACTCTTAACAATACAAAACGATAAATAACCTTACATGATTTCAAGAAATAGTTTTAAGGGAAAACTTAAAGATTTTGTCTTGATAACCTTTGGAAGATTGTACCTGTTTTAATGCTACTGTGCATTACAGATTTTCTTCCCCCAGTTTCGTACGTAATTATATTTAGGACACACTAAATTATATTCGCCATTTCAGTGCTCTTCATGCAGACTCAATCAGTAATTTTAACTATTATGATAATAATATATTGTACTAATTTATATGTACAGTATTGTGCTAAATATTTGGACACTAAATTATATTACTCTATATTATGTTGTATACATGGCTGTGCAACTCTTGGCCAAACCAATGCCATCTGTATAATGTTGACAAGTAATAAATCTGAGAGATGCATTTGAGTGACTATTGCTAAGTGTATAATTGAGTAAACATTGTCTTGGTACGTTTTCATCGTATTTTGAATAACGCACGTATAGGGTATTCAACGGCTACACAATAACTTTACAGAATGGATGCTATACTTGCTCAGTAACTATAATGATAGTCTCAAGAGTATACTCGAAACCAGCAAAATATGATAGAAACAGGAACTTGATGTCATGACATATTTTGACGTACAACTTTGTACTTTACACCAAACGGCATATCTTCTGAACATTACATAGCCGTATTCAGTCCTCA